TAATTCCACCCTATGATGTTTGAGAAAACCTAATCTCCCACCATTTACATTTTTAATAAAATTAAACTCAGTTTATCCCACCCAAATATAAAGATAAGGATAAGAAAATAAAGAGCACACGTGTGATTACACGTGAGGTGAAAAGAACTTTGACACAATCGGTGCCGGCTGATCCAAGATCTACCATAGCTCCAATGCCGAGCTTTGTCAAAACATCATTGTACCTTCTTCCACAGAAGACGCCGGTTCCAAACAAACGAAATCCCTATACTAACACTTTGAAATGAACCCAAAATCCAGCTTTCGAAGGGAAGCTTCACCTCACTCCTAACTTGTAGGTCCCATGTCCTAACTTGTAGATCTTCTCATGGGACGGCGAAGATATTACTCCCTAACAAAATTAGATATCGAGCTCGGTGAAGAGTAGTAGAGATATCGGAAGAGGAACAAACGGCTTTAAACCTGAAACACATATGGAAAGAAGGAGAAGAACTCGGACAAACCGAAACAAAACCGAAACAAAGCCGGAACAAAAACCGGCCAAAGCCGTAGATCCGATAGAAACAAGATCGAACATACATAAAGATCTAAAACACAAAAGAAAAGCTGAATCCATCAGATCTCTAATCATACTTACACATCAACAAAATCAACCGAAGCCTTCTTCAAAATCGATGTCAGATCTAAAACATCGAGATTTCCAAAAGCTTCAAATCAAAGTCGATGTAGGAAGCATGATGATAAATTGAGGAGTTTATTTATATACAAACCTTCACGGTATCACCGTCATAAAGACGACAAACACCGGAAACTAAAGAACCGATGGATTGAAGATTAGATCAGAATAGAGAGATGGAGAAGCTTCTCGAGATCATTTTCTCTACGATTTAAGTTTTCTAAATAATCCAGCTTAAGTTGCATTCAAAGATTATATATGATTTCCGATTATAATTTACTGTTTTTTTTGAAAAATAATAACAATTTATTACTAAATAGAATAAAGGAAAATTGGCAAAAATAACATAAAAAAAAATAATCTAAAAACTAACAAAAAAAACTTACATCCAATGGTTATGATTTTGCTATATACCCCAC